CTCAGCGGTAAAAAACAATGACATCTTGAATTTTGCATGCAAATGGATGGAAATAGAGAACACTATCCTGAGCGCGGTAACCCAGACCCAAAAAGATGAATATGGTATGTACTCACTCATTAGTGGATTCTAGCCATAAACAAAGGACATTGAGCCTATAGTTGGTGATCTTATAGAAGCTAATTAAGAAGGTGAACCCAAAGGGGAAAAAATGTAGTTATCCTCCTGGATATTGGAAGTATATAAGATTTCCAGGCAAAAATTGAGAGCTTGGGGGTGGGGGGGGGACGGGGAAAAGGGGAGATGGGGAGAGAGAAGGGAGATGTGGATAGAGAAGGGGAGGATGGGGAGAACTTGGGGGAATGGGACAGTTGGGATGTAAGAGGAGTGGATATGGGAGCAGGGAAGTATATATCTTAATTAAGGGAGCCATTTGAGGGTTGGCAAGAGACTGGACTCTAGAGGGGTTCCCAGGTGTCCAAGGAGATGTCCCCAGCTTGTTCCTTGAGCAGCTGAGGAGAGGGCACCTGAAATGGCCCTATACTATAGCCACTCTGATGAATATCTTGCATATCACCATAGAACCTTCATCTGGCGGTGGACGGAGACAGAGACAGAGACCCACATTGGAGCCCAATGGTCCAAATGAGGAGCAGAAGGACAGAGAACATGAGCAAGGAAGTCAGGACTGCAAGGGATGCGCCCACCCACTATGATGGTGGAGCTGATCTAATGGGAACTCACCAAGGCCAGCTGGACTGGGACTGATGGAGCATGTGATCAAACTGGACTCTCTGAACGTGGCTGACAATGAGTGCTGACTGAGAAGCCAAGGACAATGGCATTGGGTTTTGATTCTATTCCATGTACTGGCTTTGTGGGAACCTAGTCTGTTTGGATGCTCACCTTCCTAGACCTGGATGGAGGAGGGAGCTCCTTGGACTTAACACAGGGCAGGGAACCCTGACTGCTCTTTGGACTGGAGAGAGAGAGGGAAGGAGAATGGGGAGAGGTGGAGGGAAAGAGGATGAGGGGAGGAGGTGAAAATTTGTAATAATAATAATAATAAAAGAAAAAATTAGAAATAAAAATAATTAACAGCAAAATCTGTGCAAATGTGGATATGAGACATCATGCTTGTCTCTTGGATCCCTGTTCAGGTGGTTCTTCTCGCTGATGTGAGGTCTAAGACAGTGGTTCTTAACCTGTCATTTGTGACCCCTTTGGGGGTCAAATAAGCCTTTCACAGGGGTCACCTAAGACCATGTAAAAACACAGGCATTTATATTACAAGCCATAACAGTAGCAAAATTATAGTTATGAAGTAGCAAGGAAATAATTTATGGTTGGGGTCACCACAACAATGAGGAATTATATTAAAGGGTCACAGCATTAGGAAAGTTGAGAACCACTGGTCTAAGGAGGAGCACAAGAGGTGATGTTTCTGGCTTTTGCCAACAGGTCTTAATTCCAGAGGCTGTTGTTAATTAAGCCTCACAAGATGTAGCTGAGTCCCTTTCCTGGCTGGTAAGTGCAGACAGGGCAGAGGCAAGGACTGTCCAAATCACAGGCTGCCTTAAGTCATGACCTACCTAGTTAACAACTACATCTTCATAAGGAGTGTGAACTGAGCGGATATTCCTGGAACACCAAACAAGAGCAGCAGTAAAGCAACAGTTAAACCTGTTGCTTGTACTTAGTTATAGCTAGCACACAGGCTGGATTAGGAAGAGGAGGAACTGTGCAGACAGCAGCAGGTGGTTTTGTGAGTCTATGCATCTATGCCTACACACCTGTGCACTGCTGCCTGCATGGCCCCCTCCCCAGCAGTGCTTGGCACTGAGTGGCACATGTGTTCCAGGGTACTCCTTCCCTTGACGACAAAAGAGAAACACTGAAATGCAGACTTATCACTACACTTTAAAAAAATGGTAGGTACAAAACCCAAAAAGACTACAAGACAAGTCTTGAAAGTCATTCTTACCAGCCCTGCTCATCCTCCAGACTCAGCTCATCTAGCTGGCCTCCTCCTCTGTGCTTGCCCCAAGATCAAGGCACCACTTCTGTTAGTGGGTCCCACAGTTCCTCAGTACATGTCAAACTATGGCTTATTTGTGTGCATTGCTGATTACCCCCCACTGTCTGTCCCTTGAGTGCAGAGTCTAAGTTCTACATGAGCAGCCCCAGCAAGCTCCTTTAAGGGCACAGTAACTCATACTTAGAGCTGCTTACTAAATTTTTGATGAACAGATATCTAGGAAAAACTCTAGCTCCAAACTTCCACAAAAACTGACATCTGAAGAGTCTCCAGCAGCCTCCTCCTCAGGCTGTCCATTTTCTGGAGTACTCTGTAAGGCTGGATATTCTACACTTATTCTAGAAGCCGTCTGGCCTCGGTTTTCAGGGGAAGCCTCCCCTTTCTTCACACCCTGACAGCACAGCTCCTCTGCTGTCAGCATTTCTTGGTCCTCTTGTCTTCCCTTCCCACATTCTGCCCTTAGCCATCTCCTTGTGCTTTCCAGTGTGGGACTTTGGGAATGTCAGATGTCATATCACTGCTATTTTATACATGAGGTCTTTAGATGATTTAATAGTATTTAATATTTTTGGACCTCAGTTTTAGCTATATACAGGAAGAATTTGAACTAATTCAATGATAAGACCTTGCATAATTCCCTCAAGAAACTATAAATAGGAAAGCAGCTTTCTTTCTTTTTGTTTGTTTGTTTGCTTGCTTGCTTATTTGATTGGTTGGTTGGTTGGTTGGTTGGTTTTTTCAAGGCAGGGTTTCTCTTTGTAGCTCTGGCTGTCCTGAAACTCACTCTGTAGACCAGGCTGGCCTAGAACTCAGAGATCCACCTGCCTCTGCCTCAAAGTGATGGAACTAAACACACATGTGCCACCACACCCAGCTCTAGCAGCTTTCTAAATTAAAACCAAGGAATTCTTTCCTATAACATAAAATTTTAATTGCCAATCTTAACACATTAGGATAGAAAATAATTACAACATTTAAAAAAGCCAGCTTTCTCAATTTGGAGCTTGATAGCAAAGCTAATCCATTTTCACCTCAATACATTTGCTAACTAAGAAGTGAGCTGACAGCTTTCAGCTGCAGGGTGTTCACGTCTGAAGTAAGAAGGCCAGTCCACAAAAGCTCTTGGCCTCTCAGGAGTCCTTCCCTGTGTCTCCCAGACTATCAAGTGTTAATCACGCTCATTTGCGAGACCCCACATAAACAACGCTCCTCTGACAGCATAACTAAAACTGAAGCAGCACAGCTGGGGCACATCCCTGGGCAAAGGTGACACACATTCATGAGGCATTCCATACTTTGCAAAGTTATGTGAGGGGGCTGGGGCTGGGGTTCAGTCAGTAAAGGACCTGCCATGTAAGCGTGAGGACCTTAGTTGTAAAAGCTGGTATAGATGTGTCTATCTGTAACTCCAGGGCTAGAGAGGCAGAAACAGGCAGGTCCTTGGAGCTCATTGGCCAACTAGCTGAGCCAAATTTAGTTCTACATTTGCTGTGGAACAATGGTCTGTACCCTGTCACTTATATTTTAAATAAATGCTGATTGGCCAGTAGCCAGGCAGGAAGGTGGGGTGGCCAGGCAGAAAGTAGAAGCGGGGCAACAAGAATTCTGGGAAGAGAGAAGTGCAGTCTTCAGTCATGTCCCAGCCACAGAGGAAGCAAGATAGCAAATGTGGCTGCCTCGCCGAAAAAAGGTACCAAGCCATGTGGCTAACATAGACAAGAATAATGGGCTAATATAAGTTATAAGAGTTAATAAGAAGCCTGAGCTTTGGGCCAATCAGTTTATAATTAATGTAAACCTCTGTGTGATTTCTTTGGGTCTTAATGACTGTGGGAACTGGGCAGGACAGAAAACCTCAGTCAACATAGATTCCTTGAAATTCCTGTCTCAAAAAATTATGGTGAAAGGAAAGGAGAAAGACACCCAATTTTGATCTCTGTCCTCTACATGTACATACACCTGCTCAAACACATGCAAACACACACACATGCACAGATGTCACATACTGAAAAAGGGGGAAACAAGTTATGTGAAATAAAAAGCATTAATCCACGATGTTTACAACTTCCCATGTCAAGTATATGACATGGATAAGCACAATTCACTCCATATATTGCAACAGGAATAGAAGTAAATCAGAAAAGTGTAAGATACCTCAACTCTAATACTAGTTCACTCTTTCAAATGTTTACTTAAATTTGTTCATTATATTTCTAAATTATATTCCAAAGTTTATGGCTGGATACTCTGTATTCAAAGTCAGAGTCAGTCATGCCCCCTATAAAGCCATAGTATGTTTTCAGATGTTCTCAAAAAGCTTCCCCATATGCTCACTCCCAGGTCTTCCATATTCATGGAAGATGAGCCATTCTCAGTACTACGGGGGTCTACCTACTATCGAGCGTTTGATTTTATAATGTGTTACTATTCTGAAAATATGAGATGTAGAATAGCTTTCACATTAAGATGTAGGGGCTGGAGAGAAGGCTCAGCAGTTAAGAGCACTGACTGCTCTTCCAGAGGACCCAGGTTCAAGTCCCAGCAGCCACATGGCGGGTAACAACTGTCTGTAACTTCAAGACCTGACACCCTCACACAGACATACATACAAACAAAAGGCTAATGCATATAAAATAAAAATAAATAAACAATTTTAAAAAAAAAAAGATGTACTTTAAGTGCATCCTATCGGTTCTAAAGTAGATGAGGCCTAGAAAGGCCTAACAGCTTTGCTATCAGGCTATCAGTTTCACAGGAGACACTCCTTCAGGGGGATGTGCACCGTAAATGGACTTCCTGCTGTGTACACAGTAATTCACTGTGCATTGCTTTAATATCTAACAACAATGTGTCAACACGGTTATTTAGTAATTCAACTGCTTGTTTAAATCAACTTCTAGTTTAATATGAGTGATATTTAAGTAGTTATTTAACAAACTTAATCAAAACTCAATTTACTTACCTTTTTCAGGCCCGCAAAACCTTCTGATTCCAGAAAGAAAAAGGCAAAGGGCATCAACACAAACAAACAAAGGTTGGAAAATAAAGACGCGAGATTCCACAAACCTATAAAGATGACAATAAGAGAAAAAAAAGAAAATTGGGTTAGATATCGACATGGCGTTTCAAAGTTCACCAATGCTTGTGATGCTCATCAAGACCTATATTTTAATAATAAAAAGCAATACCTATTTTAAATGACTATCTAAACTTGGCAACTAGAAAAATAATTATATATTTACTTTAAACATTTTTATCTGTGATTTGTACCTACTGGGGAAAGACAATATAGAAACTAGCTACTTTTCCTCACTTCTCCAAGTAAATTACCCAAAGATCTCTTATACACAGAGATCCAAAGAAACAGATCTTTAAACGCATCAGCACTTGAATATTTAAATTACAGCCACTGCATCTGCTTATCATTTAGCAGATACCAGGCCCACACCAAGCATTTCATACACAGCCCATTTAAGCCTCACAAGCCAGCCTAGGGGAAAGCACTTCCTGGACCCCACGAGCCCAGCACTGCTCTAAGGGCCTTGCAGACCTTCTACGAACTCATTTCTAGGCACAGGAGTGCCTGGGCAGGCAGCACTGCAGTGGAGGCCAACACTTGCCAAGCTGCAGAGCATGTGAGTATCAAGGCAGACTACCTGGAATCCTGAAAAACACATCACAGGAGTTCTAAACACAATTCCAAGTGGGAAAGAAAATGTGAGCCAGGTGGGCAGGCTCCCAGAGCCATTTTCCTTTTGTCCACATCATGCCACAATACATAACAGTGAGAATAAGTACATTCAGAAAGTGACGCTTTTAGGCCTGTCACTGACAGAGTATTTGGCCCAACATCTGTTTTTTTACAAGAAAAACACTAAAATTTAAAATTGAGCTTCAAAATGATGGCTGTAATCCTTAAAATTGAGTCAAAGTTAAAAGTTATACCAATGCATTCAGAGCATTGCATACAACTTAAAGTATCAACTCAAACTCCCCACTGCTATGGCATGAGTTAACGTGTGTGCACAGTCACCCTGCTCCTAGGAGAGTGTAGAACATAAGTTGTATCACTTATTATTTATTTTAGTAGATAATTAATAACATCAATTCCTAGTTTCTTATCCAGAAATCTAGATTTAATGTACATATAATACATATTTAATCTTTTCAAGGCCAAAAATAGTTAGAAATAAATGTCTTAATATCTTTTACTTTTCTGAGACCACATCACATTATCCCAAGATGGCCTTGAATTCTTCTTTGTAGCCTAAGACAGTTCTTGATCCTCTTGCCTCCACTTCCTGTGTGCTGGAATTAAAGGCAAGCACCACCACACCTGGTTAATGGTGCTGGGACTTAAGCCCAGGGTCTCATGCATATCAAGCAAGCACTCTACCAACAGAACTACACCCTCAGTTCCTATATTAATATCTTTTAGTGGAAATTTGAACTTTATAAAGCAAAAATTGCTTTAAAATACTTTTATGTGTACTGACCCTTAAAAGAAAAAAAGTTAAGGCCAAACACGCGCACCTCTAGCTCCACATACTAGGGAGGCCAACCATGAAAACTACTAGAGACTACAAGCTCAGGGCCAACATGGATAACTTCAGGGAAATTTACTTTAAAAAAGAAAAAAGGCTTTATTCTTTTCTTTATTGATGAGCACTAATTATAATCAACAGAAGGGTAAATGGAATAAGGGAGAACTAAATGCATACTCCTAAATCCTAAATCGTAGACTTGACTGTAGCAACTTTGCTAGGTTCCAGGTTTGTCACCTGCAGCTCTAATGATATATGCATGGCCATCATTAGCATAATGAAATAAGGCATGGCTGACAGCTGGACCAACGCCTCGAAGAACAAGTACTTCATGCTTTTCTGCTTTTACTAACCATCATTTCCTTAGAGGCAACTAATTTGCAGAACTGTTAGCTCCTGGCATGCTACGTTCACCACTATCTGCCTTTTCCTTTCCTTTCCTATTTCTTCTCCCCTCACCCCACCGAGGTGTATCAACTCCTGGTTTTCATTACTAACAATCTGCATGTGCCTACAGTTTCCCCACCGCTACCTGATCTGAGTAAAGGGTTCAAGGCACAGTTTTCAGGAACTGTATCTGAAGGAAGAATAAATGGGCCTGGATCAAAGCTGTGCTCTCAGGCTCCGTCCATAAACTTTTGTGTGTGGTGTCCGGTTCCTATTTTGGCTGTTCAACATTATTTTCTTTAAGGCTCTCCAGATATAAGAGGAAGGGAAATAATCATAATTCCTATTATGTAAATTATTACATCCTTGAAACACATCTAGTGTTGATATGTAGCTTTCAGTATAGTGGGAAACAGAGAAACAGCAATTCTAAATAACTTGTGTTATAGAAGATGTCATATGTCGAGGATTATATTCAAATTAGAGGAAACAGTTTGTATGTAATTATATGGCACACAGCCCTTTTAGAAACTATTTTTTAAAAAAGAAACCCCCTGTATCTGTTAAGAACCCACTGTAGCAACATGGGGTAACACCTAATCCTTCAACCAGGGCTCCTGTTCTACAATCAACGTCAGGTTCAGAAATGCCAGATCAGGGCTGGAAAGATGGCTCAGCAGTTAAGAGCACTTGCTGTTCTTTCAGAGAATCCAGGTTCAATACCTATCACACACATGGTGGCTCATAACCATCTGTAACTCCAGTTCCAGGGGATCCAATGACCCTCTTCTGGCTTCCATTGGTACCCGCCTCCGTGGGTACCAATGGTGCACAGACAAACAGTTATTTATAACATTTTCTAAGTGTTTAATTTTAAAATTGGTGATAGCTCATTTTTTAAAAATTGTAAAACCAAAAAAAAAAAAAGAAAAGAAAAGAAAAACCAGTTCTGAAGCGATCCAAAGCCAGAAAACAGCTACAGTGCACTACCTGATTTGTTGAGAAACCTCTGGGTAAAATAAATTCAATTTCCTAAACTACTCATATTAATTCCACATATCTGCAATTGTTCTTGTTTATGTACATATGTGTTAGCCTGTATATGTGTACCATATGTATGCAGAAGCCCTCAGAGGCCAAAAGAAGATGTGGGTCCCTGAGTACTTGGTTGTGAGACACCATGCAGATGCTGGGACTCAAACCTGGATCCTCTGACAGAGTAGCAAGTGCTATTAACCATTAAGCTATCTCTCCAGCTCCATATCTGCAATTTTATAATGAGAAATTTCCACATTTAAGCTCTGCAATACATCATATTGCTCTCCATCATTTGAGTCCCCAACTCCATCCTTAGAGTTAAATTTTAATTGTCAATGTAAAATGAAGAAAACCACAATGTATACAAAAAGTAAAACATGTTTATCTTAACAGCCCCACTGAGCAATAACGAATACACAGTGCTCTGGTTCAGGTGCAGTCTGAATGTGCCTCCCCACGTGCCAAAGTCTGGGAAGCCTATAAGAGACAGGCCTCCTGGAAGACGACTAGAGTCTAGAGAGCAATATGAAGGGACTAACACTTTTCTCATGGGATTGTATCCTTGTTCCTACAGAAAGTCACTGTAAGAAGAGGCCACTCCATTAGCATTCTAGGTTCTGCACACAGCCAACTCCTTCTCTGGTGAGTGAGAATCACAAACAGGACCCTCATGAGGAGACCCATATTCCTACACTGCCAGAACGATAAAGCAAACACTTCTGTCCAAAACCCCAACCCCAGATGTTATTACAGCCACATCAGTCCGACTAACACACCAAGTGGACAGCTCTACACCCATACCAGATAATGAGCACACCTACTGCCCAGACACTTCCACAAACCCTCTCTTTATCATCACACTCCCCCATCCCACAGCCAACCACTAATTCTATACGAAAAAAAAAATTGTTTTTTACAATTTTTGTCTAAATGAACCCTGTAGTTTTTGGGTTTTGGTCTGGCTTCTGTGGGCACTGTGATCTGTGCCCATAGCAGTGGCTACAGCAAACCCTTACTGAATTACCCCACCTGTAGACATCATCTGCTGCTCCCACCTTGTGGTTCTTACAAAACTATGCATGTCCAAACTTTGTGATGGACACAGGCTTTCACTTTGGGTGAGTGTACAGCAGAGGATGGCAGAGGATGGGAGCTGTGTGTTTGACATTTCAGGAAACTGTCAAAATATTTCCCAAACTGGTGTGTTTTACATTCCCACCAGCAAAGGAAAATTCTTCACATTCCCTGAAAACAAATCCTTTAACAGGTATCAGATCTGCAGGTGCTCTCTCCCAGTCCATGGGTTGTTTTTCAAATCAAAGAACAGTTTACCAAATTTAAAAGGCCAAATTTATGAACATTTTCTTGATCTTGATCTTGATCTTGATCTTGATCTTGATCTTGATCTTACCTGAGAAACAGTGGTGCAGCCCAGAGTCACAGAGATTCTCCTGTCTGCTTCTGAAATTTTTGTGGTTTTACAATTTACAGTTAAGTTTATGGTTCTTCAAGATAACTTTTTATGTGGAGCCAGGTATCAACTAAAGGCCAAATTTGTCTGTGATTATCCAACTGTTCCAATTCTATTTGTTAAAAACATCCTTTACCTACTAAATTGTATCTCTGTATCTTTGTCAAAAGTCAATCAGCAATACATGTTATGTGCCCTTGGACTCAGTACCCTGCTGGGTTGACCACTGCCCCGTATCTATGCTGCTACCACACTGTCTTGATCATCACAGACTGAAAACCATCCTGAAGTAGGAAGTCCTCCAATGTTGTTCTAGCCATTGAAAATTCGCTGAATTCTCAGCTAAACTTTAAATCCGAGTATCAGTTTCCATCTGTCTTAGCTACAGTTCCTACTGCCATAGAGACACCATGACCACGGCAACACTTACAAAGCAAACATTTAGTTGGGGTGGCAAGCTTACAGGTTCAGAGGTTCAGTACATTATCACCATGGTGGGCAACACAAAGACATGCAGGCAGACAACATGCAGGCAGATGTGGTGCTGAAGCTGAGAGTCCTACATCTTGCAGGCAGCAGGAAGTCAAATGACTGTCGCATGAAGTAAGTGAGCAAAAAAGACCTCA